ATTTGAGAGATCATGAGGTATGCGTGTTAAGCTTGTAACACGGAACTAAAGTAATTAAGAGAGTGTGTTATCTTTTTTTTTTTTTTTTTTTTTATTATAATCTGTTTCTTTATCAAAAAGAGACTTCATTAATTAATAGGTATTGAATGTTTCTCTTACGCTACAATAAAGTGCCAAAAGGGGTAATACCACCATTACCTGTGTATTACTTTGGGCCATAAAGACGAGGGCAACAAATATGATAACTGGGATCAGGTTCAGAATGAGACTGCCAAACAGCGGGATTTCTGGGGACAACAGGAATAACACGAAATGACACCACCACGAATTTCACCATGATTCATTTTGTGTTTGACAAAGAGTAGGCCTACGCTCTGAAGAATTTTAGAAGAATGAAATAAAACTAATTTCATACCAGTCTTTACGAGCTATAATTCAGGAGACTTTGAAAGGAACCTTTAGTTATCAAAATAAAAAAGAACGAAATAAAGTTTTGGAAAAAACCCAACCACTTAATAATAATTAACAAGTTTGCACTCCAACTGCTCCATTGCGAAATGTACTCATGACTTAAATGTAAAAAAAAAAAAACTCAACAAATACATAGTTATGTCCCTTTAACAATTCCCAGCTCAGGGTGGAAGAAATCCTTTTCTGCCTCAAAAACCTCTCATGAATTGTATGCACAAAACTAGAGACATTTGCTTTGTTCTTAGATTTTTTTAAAAATCCTCCATTCTTTTCCAGTTTAAAGAATGATGTACATAACTATTTTGCCCACATTGTTTGGCTTCCTTGCGAGCAAATTGCCCCTTTCGTCGAGCCTTTGCCAGTATCTAATCACCCCGATTTTAATAAGTTTAGCCAAATTGCTGAAAGAAATATAATGTAGATTACCTGGATATGCCGTAGTAATAGCTCCAACAATAAGCATGAAGATTGTCCCTGGTGTCAGGATGGACGAGGCCATCATGCCAGTCTGGTAGGCGATATAGAGCAGAGAAATGTCTTCGTTCTTTCTTGTCACCTTACGCCAGCTCTCCAGAAGATCTGCATAGTATGAAGTTGTGAACGTCGAGTCAGATGGATAAACTCCCCATAATTTTGTAATAAGGAACAGCTTCAGAGTGCCCTTGTATTTTGAGTATGGAATGACCAGTTTTGCTTTATTTGTATGAAATATGAAACTCTTGAGCTATACAGTGGTCGGCATTATATAAATAATTTGCTTCTTTATCACTTTGTTATAGTGTTGGAAGTATTTTATATTCAGCTGTCCCAAAAAATTTTAAAACCCCCCCCCCCCCCTTTTTCTTGGACCCCCCCCCCCCCCCCCCCACACACACAAACAAAACAATATAAAGAAAAATGTTTCCTCTTCACTTGAACCCTTGTTTTAAAAATACTAGCTTACAAGGTGCGTAAAGCCATTGTTTGGTCTTTATCTTTATGGTTTTATACTCGGAGTTTCTGAGGGTCTAGTTTTTCATCACTCACAGAGTTCTTTAAAAGGTGGAACCTGATACCATAAACACAAATAGTTAGAGACCTAAGAAACCTCTCCAAGTTACCAAAAATTTTTAATATTTCTTATCAGAGGAACCAGAGTCATCCACACAGTAGTTCAGGATGATAATACATGTAGGCGCTAAATTAACAGACTTAAGGTAACAATGGCAAACATGAGTGGTTTCATGTATTTTGACTAGTATTTTTCATTAGTGATTTGGTTGTTGTGATTTTGTTTCTTGACTGCTCTTTTTTTATTGTTATTTTCAGAGTTGTTTCATTATTTTCTATTTTAAAGGAAATGTTAATGGTAGGAGCACAAGTAAGTCACCTCCTTTTACTCAATTTTAGCTTCACATTTTTCTAACCTGTTTTGGGGGAAATAAAGCCGGTATCCTGCTGATGAAAGACCTTTAGAAATGCAAAAAACTATTAGTTAAAACAGTACCGAGATATGGAAGGCTGGTGCCTCTATAAACATGCATATTACCAATGGTTCAGACTGTAGCGCACTGGAAATGAAATGTACGTTTGCTAATAAGCGATTTGATTTTTTTAAATTTTTTTTTTGGGGGGGGGCTCTTGGCAAAATCTTGGAACTCACCGTATAACACCTGAAGTAAAATAATAATATACTAGTCTAGGCACTGTCATGGCCACCACTCTGGACGCTCTATAAAAGACTTCGTGGAAACTCAAATGAAAGGCAAAACTACAAGTCTCGCTTTAGTCGAGTGTGGGCAAATGTTTCTCCCTTGCCCTTTGGTTCTAAATCGAGTAAAATGGTGCCCTCCATAGTCAACAGGAATTACGACAGGAGCGCACGGTCAAGGATAGTATAATATAAGTCTGTGGTACTCACCAAGAACGTTGGCCATTGTTGAGGGTACCCAGCGACGGCGTTGGTTGTAGAACTCGAAGAACCCTTCAGGGGCGTATGTGAACGAGTCAGAGGCGGCACAATATTCAACGCGGTAGCCTTGTTGTAGGAGGAGAGTACATAGCCAGCGGTCCTCACCTGGTGTGTTTGTGTAAGGGGTGGGGGGTGGTGAAGGAGGCACAGAAATACTTATTACGATTAAGCTACTCTTGTTGCTATTAGTATTGCTCTTGCTCGCTTGATGATGACACTGTCATGCAGCTTCAGGGTAGAGAGATTGTTAAAAAAACCTACAAAAGAAAATCTCAACCTTAGAGAATCTAAGTGGATGTGGAACCTGGGCTCAAATCAAACCCTATCTGGCATCAATATTGATGAGCCCCATTTCAGAGAACTAAAATTTACAACGTAACCACCCAAGCCGCTGCCCAACTTTTCCCCCCTTTACACCTACTCACCCCTCCCTCCCAACTGAGATCAACATACTCCCCCCTCCCTCCCTTTCTCCCCCACCATGCACCTCTACTCTTTATCTGACCGCGCCTTTTAAAATCATGGCACTACAGTTTCACCCTACCCCCCCCCCCCCAACCCCTGCATCTCCTTACAGCCTATCTCCCCACCCTCCGTCCTCTTTCCCGACACAGGACATTTCCCCTACTTGAAGACCACCCCCTGTCACTCCCTCATGCAGATGAAGTGCCTGATCGCCAGGATATTTTCTTTCAACGCCTACCCCGCGCTCTTTGCCTAAAGAGATCCTTCTACCTACCCCCCCCCCCCCCCCACACACACACATACTCACACACACACACACACACACACACACACACACACACAACCCCCCCCCGGGTATTCCTGCGAAATGCGGAAACCGTTCGTAAACAAGAAAAAAACCCCCTAGGTGGGAGGTAGGGCGGGAGGGCAGGCAGGCAGGCAGGCAGCGCAGGGAGGCAGGCAGGCAGGCAAGCAGGCAGGCAGGCAGGCAGGCAGGCACGTAGGTAGGTAGGTAGGTAGGTAGGTAGGTAAGTAGATAATGTAAGTATGTATGTAATGTATGTATGTATGTATGTATGTATGTATGCTTATTACCATGTTATTTCTGCTGTTGTTACGGCTGTACTAGGTCTCCCTCACTTATGCCTCCCCTCCTCCAGAAACCCGACCCTCCCCCCCCTCTCTCTCTCTCTCTCTCTCTCTCTCTCTCTTTCTCTCTCTCTCTCTCCTCTCTCTCACATACACACATACACACGCACACACACACACACACACACACACACACACACACACACACACACACACACACACACACACACACACACACACACGCACACACCCTTCTTCTGTCTCCTCCTTTTGCCTCCAACTGGGATGCCTCTATACATTTTCGTCTTTCATCACACGTTCACACAATTAACTTCCTGTCAGCCTCTCGTAGAGATACAATTGATATCCTTGATGATTAGCATCAATTTCTTTATAATTAGCCCCTTGGCCTGGCACCCACTTAGTCACTTCCGTCTAGCCTGTAACCACACGTAACCCTAAGACCCCCTTTGTTAAGCCCATTTCCCTGCTAGTATACAGCGCTCATTTAGTTTTTCTCTCAGTTGCTCCCGAGGAAGCCCACGAGGCGAAACGTTGAGCTATTAAACAAATTTAAACATTTTATATTATTGTTATTTTATTTTGTCTAAAATTAAAACAAGACTCTCTCTCCTACTCTGCTTACCAAACAATGATGATGATAATGATGATGATGATGATGATAATGATGATCCTAACACAGCAAACAGTAGATTTAAAAACCGAGACAGATAAGCAAGAAATATGTTCTTACCCTGATCATACTGTACATAATGGCGCGCTTCAGACGGGGGCGTGGCGTACTTCCGCATGACGTTGTCATCCATGATGGCTGATCCCCTGAAGAGAGAGAAACATCCGGGACTGCAGAGAACACAGCCTAGTACGTGCTCCGTGGCCTTTTGCAGCCAATGGCTGATGGCGTACTCGAACTTCTGGTACCAGACCATTGGACCTGCGGATGAGAGTGAAAATGCTAAAGGAGCGCAAATTTCGTAAACAATAAGGAGCAGCAAAATTCAATGTTTTGATACTTTTTGTTGGTTCCGGTTTTGTTTTTTTGTTGTTGTTGTTTTCGTAGGATTTTTCGTGCGTACTTTTCTGTCATGTGTTCTGTTCTTTAGGGCACCGAGTGTCAATTTAATACACTGCATGTACTGGATATTGGAAAAGGTTGTTAGATATTGTTATAGCGGAAATCTCGCTGAGACTTGGAGTTGAGGCAAAAGACAGTGCAAAAGAAAAAGGTACCATCAAAAAGTAAAAAAAAAAGTTTATGGAAAGAGTAACTTTGCGGCTTAGCATATTTATATTGTTAGTTTACTGAACTTTTCAAAGCATTTATTGTAATTTGTAATTTTTTAAATTTTAATTTTTTATTTATTTATTTATTTATTTTATTTTTATTTTATTTTATTTATTTTTTTTTTTTGGGGGGGGGGCAATAGAAAACACAATAAGCAGGTATAATGGTGTCATTTGTTTGTTTCAGACGCTCACAACTGCATAAGGTCATATTACGAGTGCCAAGGGGTGGATGTCAACAGGAGAAGTCCAAACGGGTAATCAGGCTTACTCTGCACAAAGTCTGCTACGACTATGAAGGCACCCAGGAAATAGCAGTACACTAAAGAGTGACAAACATAGAAAAGAAGTAGAGAAGTAATGACGATATTAAGCATGAGGAAAGAAAAAGTAGCAGTTCCCCCTATGTTGTTCCGGCACAGTATGAGCATGACATTGATAAATCAGCGCATTTTCAATTATTCTACTGCGCATGAGAAAATATTAATATCCCCCCTTTGGAAATGGCCTGAAGACACTTCAGTCCATAGCACTGCCCTGAGGGGGCTAATGGTGTCAGAGACGTTACAAGGACACGTCATCTTTTAACTCTTTTGTTGGCCTGACAAATTATTGGGGAAAAAATGCATATTTTTAAAATATATTTTCATGTGTTCTAATTTTTTCTCAACATCTTTTGAACAAATAAAAGCAGAATGGGAACTGGGAAGAGGTTGAGTTGGAAGGAGGGGTGTGTGGCTCATTAATATATAAAAAGTGTGAGTTTTTTTCATATGTGCTTAGTAAGACAAAATAGAAGAAGAAACATTCAGAGAAAATTAATTTACGAAAACTCAGTGAAGAGGGCAATGTGCAGAAAGTTGAGGACGAGATCACAAAGAGACTAGAAAACCGAGACACCAGTTCTATGAACGTCGAAGAAACATGGACTCTCTTTAAAAACTTACTAACAGAAACACTGATAAAAGTACGTGGAAAAAGCGAATTGGGAGAGGATACGTTAAAATAACACCATGGTGGAATGACAACGTTAAAGAGGCCATCAAAGAAAAGAAGACACTTTTTCAGAAATGGATAAAATCCAAGGACGAAAAAGACTACACGCAATAGAGACTAGCAAGGAGGAACTGCAAAAGAGTTGTTAGAGCATCAAAAAATGAATCTTCGACAAAATATGGAGAACACCTACGCAAACTGTGCCATAAATCACCACGTGACTTCTAGAAAGTGTAAAACCAATGAGGATCAGAGAAGAACCGTACCACCCAACAGCTATAAGTAATGACAAAACAGGAAACACCATTATCAACAGTTCCAAAATTAAATCTAGATGGAGAGAATATTTCTCAGAACTCTTGAACACCACCCAAAAGCATTAAAAAAAAATTCCAACCAAGTCATTCAGAGGAATACGAACCAACCATCCTACCATCAGAGGTCAGACAAGCTGTTAAAATCAGCCAAAAAACAGAAGCGCAGGAATAGATGAGCTCACCACGGAGACGATCCTAGCATGTGGTGAAACTGGAATAACTTGGCTCACAAAAATCTTCCAGAAAGCATGGACAGAAAGAAAAGTTCCCGGCGACTGGCAAAAAGCAGTCATAGTACCAATCTGGAAGAAGAAAGGCAATAAGAGAGACTGTGGAATGTATAGAGGCATTTCACGGCTACGCCATGAGTGCAAGATGTCCGCCAAGATATTGGAATGGCGAACAAGACACAAAATTGAACCATTTATGAGTGAGGCCCAAATGGGATTTAGAAAGGGAAGAGGATGCTCCGACGCAATATTTGCTCTATGACAAATGTGCGAACTGGTAATAGAACGCAATAGAGAACTAAATATAGTATTTATCGATCAGGAGAAAGCGTTCGACAGAGTGAACAGAAACAAGCTGGGGAAAGAACTCGAAAACTACACTGTAAGAGGCCAACTTCTAAATAACATTAGTGCCATTTACGAGAACAGCATAAGTACAGTAAGAACACTAGATAGACTCACATAATGGTTCGAGATAACAAATGGATGCCCAAATGGGATTTAGAAAGGAAAGAGGATGCACCGACGCAATATTTGCCCTATGACAAATGTGCGAAAGGGTAATGGTACACAACAGGGAACTAAATATAGTATTTATCGACCAAGAGAAAGAGTTTGACAGAGTGAACAGAAACAAGCCGTGGAAAAAACTCGAAAACTACGCTGTAAGAGGCCAACTTTTAGATCACAACTGTGCCATTTACGAGAACAACGTAAGTACAGTAAGAACGTCAGAGGGACTCACAGAATGGTTCTAGATAACCTCCAAAGTAAGACAAGGTTGTGTCCTATCACCACTACTATTTATCATAAATATGGATAGAATTACAAAAGAGGCCAACACAGAACCAGCCGCCCTAAATGAATTACTCTTCGCTGATGACCAAAACATGGCACGCAAAGATGAACGAAGTCTCCAACACCACACCACCAGATTAAACGAAGAATGTAACAACTACGACATGAAGAAATATAGCAACTTAGCAGAGAAAATGAAAGTAAGCAGAACGCCAGAAACGTCTTGGATACACATCAACAACAACAGTCTCGGACAGATCCAAGAATTTAAGTACCTCGGAAGTATATTCACAGAGGATGGGCGATTGAACAGAGAAATCGAAACACGAGTGCAAAAGGTCAATAATGTTAGTTACCAGCTTACTCAGCTACTGAAACATCCTAACATCCCCATGAAAACAAAACTCAAAATTATCAACACTATATTCATCCCTTCACTCACCTATCAATGCCAAACATGGACCAAGAACAAGACATTGGAGCAAAGAATTACAACATGTGAAATGCGATGCCTTAGAAAAGCAGTAAACAAGACCATGCGAGACAAAAGTAAAAACTCTGTAATCCGAGAAATGGTGGGCACAAATGATGTAATACATCACATCCAACACCAAAGAATCAAATAGTTCGGACATCTCTTACGATTACCAACACACCGTCCAGAACAACGTGCCTAAATAAAAAAATCGATGGCAACAAGGCTAGAGGGCAACCGAGAAAGACCTGGATAGATGGAGTCAGGGAAACATTAACCACCCACGGCATCCCCCTGACCCAAGCTCTCCGGCTGGCGACAGAGAGACGTCTCTTTCTTCCCGCGACACCCAAAAGGGTATAAGGGGTGGATAAAAGTAAAGTAAAGCTTAGTAAGATGTGCTTTCTTTTTTTTTTTTTTTCAAAAGTCGTCCCCATTCCTTACCGGACCCGATAGGGTGAATCCTGCCGCACGCAGCTCCCACGGAAGGATTAAGTTTGAGTCTGTCAATGAGCAGTAACAGTGCGTCAGGCTGGAAGTCCACGTCACCGTCGAGGGCCAGGAGGAAGGTGTTCTGGGCACGGATCATCTTCCGGGTATCGCTGATCGCCTCCGACATGAGGCGATGGGCCAGGAAGTAGTACATGTACATCACCTAAGACGAGAAGCAACAGAATTTGAAAAAAGTGTAATGTTTTACGTCTCCAACGACATGATTTAGATTATAATTTAGAAGGCGGACTTCAACTCTGCTTGTGTGAGTGGGGATAGGGTTAGGGTGGTGGATACACACTACCACACGTATCCATTTTTACAAGCATACAAACATCCTCTTGCCTGCTTTTCACGCATTAAACTTAGAACAAGTTCAATTAAGGAGCAAATAGCCTAACAGAGTGGAAGCAAAACATGCGAATGTCACTCGGGTGACCATCACAGCAAGTACGTGCATGGGGTAGTAAGAATACCAGTTTTGTCTTTGCGATATTAATTTAAAGGAAGTGGTTATTGTTTTTAAGGTGTAAGCTGTTTTGAGCTTAGTTTTTGGCGCCAGTAGTCTATTTATTAAGCTAGAAGACTCGGAATCGTGAGGTTGCGGGTTCGGGGGTTTGAGACTTCTGTCCTTGAAAGAAGCGCTTTACATGAACTTTCCCTTTTTGCTTGGCTCTAAAATAACCTGACAGTGTTGCAAGGACTTGAGCCTATACAATTTCAAAGTAATTTACATTTATGTGAGACAAAGCTTTGTGGCTAGACATTGGTCTCAATTGTGTGAGTGTCAGTCAATGCAAGAATCTGTTTCCTTGCTAGTTTGTCTCATGTCTGGGAAATAAGCTTTCCGTCTTCAGAATGACATTTGTGTCACAATGCGGTGGAATCACGCGCTCCTCATTTTTGGGATTTATGGAGTTCTTAGTATAAACCTTAAGCATGTTCATTTGTTTTGCCTTTGATGCAAAGGGCATCCATCTATCTTGAGTAGGCGTTGAAGTATTTGCAACTGAATGAGTATGTGTGTGTGTGGAGGGGGAGGTGGGGGGTCGCCTAGCGTCAGAGGTAAAATAGATAAGAAAATGGCCGCCAAAGCTTGGTGACTTCCAAAGCTCGATTGTCTTTGAAATGTAAAAAAAATACGTTTTTTATGCTTTTAATCAACGTTCCTCATCAGCTAAATTCAGACAGAAATGTACTTTTTAATAACCATAAATATAAGGTGTTGAGTTAATTTTAAAAATAAATAAATTGTCCAACGAGCAGAAAATTATGTCAGAGTCTCCGATTTCATTATTTTGACGAACGTCTTACTTCACCACGATGTCACGCACATTAAGTGAAGTTAAACTTTACACTTCACCGACTTAAAGACTGTGATTAACACAATGTTTTCTCAAGCAGACAAGCTCAAACGCGAGCTGGTATTTTGCGAAACGAACTTCAGCTTAACAAAAGAGCAGCGAACAATCCACACGAAGGAAAAAAAACCCATCTGTATTGATCGTATAAACAACTGTAAAGCTTTTCTAAAGGAACTCTGCAACTGAAATTCACTATTGTAATAAAAATGCTGAGTAACATAATCATCTTTATGACCTTAAGGAAAATGCACATCTGATAGAAAGATTTGAGAAGCATGCAGAAAATATATTAATTCAAAGCTGTCAAGTAGTTTATATCGATTGTTAGCCCAATTATGACCAGATTTCGCCAGGTATGGATTCAATACCCCATTTAACAACGGGGGAATTTAAGATGGGCGAAAAGATAGGCTGAAATTAGGGGGGGGGGCGCACCCATTTCACGTTCATCCCTCACGTCCTTTCATTCCTCGTCCATCCTCCTCAAATCGGTGGGGAGCTATTAAAACACCCTAAACTGCATTACGTATACAAGTCCTTGTCCGGGATTCAATCTAGTGTTCTCTGTATTCCTTCCTAGTTCACCCTTACTCCAGTCGGGCACAATCTTATTTCAGGAACGGAATGTCATAGCACTAACGGTAACCGTGGAGAGAAGGAGAAACAACATGAAAAAAACAATGTCAGAGCGCTCACCAGACCCAATCACAGAGACGTGAAAAATTATCGATAGTGTTCTTAAAGTACAAGCACGTGGCGACAAACTGACTTCTTTTTGTCAGTACCGTCGGTTAGGCGTGAGCTCTTTTCAAGAAACTTTCGATTAAATCGGTACAATGCCGTCGAGAAAAGTGTATGCAAAGAACACAAAAAAGAAAGAAAAACGATAAAAGGTGTTAAGTGAAGAACTGGAGGTCACATACTTTACCGAACCCCGACTTTTAAACGTTAATCCATTTTAATGAAGAACTTTGCCTGTTTTTACTTTTGAATTGCTTTTTTAAAAAGTACAGTTTGTGAAGGACTCAGTTAGTTTTTTTTAATCAATTCAATCCATATGGGTATTCTATCGGTACAGGCTAGAGTCCTGATTAAAAAACAAAATAGCTTGAAACGGATTTATTCAGTTTTGCAAGTGACTTCTTAAATTGTTTCAGGAATTTCAATTACTTTTGTGTTCGCTTTTTTCAAAACTTTTCGATTTCTTCAGACGGCCAGGTCATGAGTTGTGGTGTTTTGATAACGTACATTGGCAACATAACAAAGTCCAGAACTCAATTTGCATGTGAGTCAACTTTTTAAATAAATCCTTCAAACTTTTGTGGTGAAAGAAAATTCAAACCCTTTATTCGGAGCATACTTCATCTAAGTGCACATCCAAATTCTCATTGCTCCCTGATGTTACATTATATCGCTGTGACGTCATATTAGAAAGAAATAGTGATTCATGTATTGCTCTTTACCTCTGCCCGTTTTTTTCCGTTCTTGTGATTGTGACGTGTTGAGTATCACCAGAATACGATTCAATTGTCTGGTACATGTGTGTGTGTGTGTGTGTGTGTGTGTGTGTGTGTGTGTGTGTGTGTATCTGTTTTGTCTGTCTGCGCATGTGTATGTGTATGTGTATCTGTGTATACATATTATGTTTGTGTGTTCGTTTGTTTGTTTTTGGTTTCTTTCGCTTGTTTTCTTTTTGTTTGCTTTCTTCTTTTATTTTTTTAAATAGTGGAATCTATTCGGAACAGAGAAGGAATGGTTACTGTTTGAACTCAAACAGCCTCAATTTCGTGTTCAGTGTTTCAGAAAATGTAAATGTGTATGTGCGTGCGTGTGTGTGTGTGTGTGTGTGTGTGTGTGTGTGTGTGTGTGTATGTGTGTTTATGTGTGTATGTGTATATTATATATATACTAGGACCCAATTGCGAGGCTAGGAGCCAGTTCCGTGGCAGGGAGCCAATTGCGTGTCATGTTGCCAATTTCGTGGCAAATTTATATACTCAAAAGGCGGAATGACATACACCGTGCAGCTCCATTGCTAGTTTCATGACACTTTAAAGAAAACATTTCTTGGCCAATATCGTGCCCGAGATTGCCAAGGATAGCAATGCACAACGCGCACAATTATTGAGCACTGAAGTTGAAGTTTAGACATTGACTTTGGCTCAGAATGCTTTTTTTTCCAAAAAAACTTTGAGCAATTCTTTCGTGAGAATATGGGGGGTGTACTGAACCTGCAAGACAAATAGGTTACATAAGTGCCGAAGATTAGAGGTTTTACCAGGGAGTAACATACACAGAAAAGAAGGAGGAGAGATAAGGACAATAGAGGTTTGATAGTAAAGAAGAAGAAGCTAACCATACCAGAGCACCACCGACAGAAGAATGAGAAAACTCCGATTTTAGTTCAAGTAACTCTTGCAGAATCTCAGAAAAGTGTTGAAGATCGCTTTTCATCCTGCAGGAACGACGCCGAGAGAAACAAGACCATGGACGTGGCTTTAACTGCACAATGCTTAATGATAAGATGTATCCATATCATGCAGAGTTTTGATTTCTTAAAGGCCCCAACCCAGTTCAGTGTTCAACGGCACAAATATATTTCGTCTTGAGGTGTCGTCGAATTGCAATGAGTCTTTTCCTTCAAATTTTGATTTTTTTCCCTTTCCAATTCAAAATGTTCGATTATGTTAAGTTAGTTAACGTGTTTTAAATCAACGAGAGGGTTTGGAATAAAGTAAGCCATGTCACAAATACGAAACTGGCCCAAGAAAAAGACCTAATCCAATTTGGTTTCATTCTGCTTCTATACGTTTATGTTCTCGATAATAGTTTACTTATATCTAGATCTATTAACTAGACTTTTATGGTGTGCAAAAAAAAAAGAGAAAAAGTGACACACAATAATTGGCCGGACGTCATAGCAAAGCAGCGACGCTCTGCACTTTCGAGAGGATAGCGGTAAAAGATTTGGTGCGATTTTGCCACACAATTGGCAAGTTGACACGCAATCGGGTCCTACCACGCAAGTGGCACTTATATTAATATGTGTGTGTGTGTGTGTGTGTGTGTGTGTGTGTGTGTGTGTGTGTGTGTGTTTAAGTGGGTGCGCCTGTCCGTGTGGGTGATAACGTCTAAGTAAGCGAAATGAGAGACTTGAGGAAAGGGAAACAGACAGAAAAAAAGAAGAAAATTGACATGAATTTCAGGATCCATTGTGTTTGAAGCCGTATCACCCGTTTTGCAAGTCGCAATAAACGAACCTGTTGGATCCGTCAGCCCTTCAGTTCTTAAAAGCACGATTCAAAACACCTCAGCTCCTACTTCTGTCCCGGAAACTCTCCCGCCTCCCACACCACGCCCCCTCAATTTGTTGACCTTTTCTTTTCTTCAGCCTAAAAGCTGTTTAGTGGTCAAACAGCCTTCAAAGTGGTCGACATACACACACTTCAGTCAATAAACTCGACCTATTTTCAAAGGGTGAGAACGAACATTGAGTCGCGACGCGGCATGATCAGATGCTCGTCAATTTTTAAGAAGTTATTGTTGTCATCTGAAAAAGCGTTTTTTTTTTATCCCTTTATTTTATGACCCCAAAAAATTATTCATTGATCTTGAAAAAAAGTCGAGATATTTTTGTTCGCGATTGGTGGAGGTGGGGGTCACCTTGTGTTAGAAGAAAAAGAGCGAAAAAATGGCCACGAATTTTTTGTGACTTCAAAAGCTTGAGAGTCCTTGGAAACTGCATAATATATACGTTTTTGGGCCCTTTATTGACATTTTAAAATAAAATTAGCACACAAATGTTTTTTACGATGGACATGAAAGATTCTGAGATTACAAGGGCGGAAAATGTCGATTTCTTCAATTTTATCATTTTACCGAGTTCCTTATTTCACCACAGGTTTTTTTTCTCTGTAATATTCCCGTGCATTCTGCTGATATATCCATGCCTTAACATACTTAAAATAGTTCAAATAAATACACCTATTGTTAAACGTGTCTTTTTTTTAAAGGGTACAGAAAAACCAACATAGATTACACATTGACATGTTTTTTCCTTTTAACTAGTAAATTTACTATGCTTGGTGATGTTTATTTTCAGCGACAGCTTTGTTTTAAATCTCCTCAGACGTGAATACGTTTGGCGTGGGGGTTTTCTAAATTGTGCATTGATAATGCACTGTTATTGAAGATTTCAATAAGACATCTTCCCCGAATACAGCATCCAACACTGAAATAAAGCTACAAGGATCTGGCTAAAGGTCTGAACAACAAACACAATTGGGGTAAAAAAAAAAGTAAAACAAACCAAAGTGCAAGCGATGTCGACAACACATTTTAACAACCAAGGAAGCAGCCACAAAGATTGCAAAGCTAAACGCCATAATAATTCACTTCTCATTACCTAAATTCCGGTCAGGAAATGAGTTCTTTATTACCAATCTGCGCCGATAAAAAGAAAAAAAGAAAAAAAAAACTGAAACAAACGAACACTGCAAAATTGGCAAGATGCTATCTCTCGAACCAAACAACATAGGTATGTGAGACACTAAAGGAAAACCTTTATTCAGAAAGTGTTCCGACACAATATTTCCACGGAACGCAGGCTCCTCTTACTTAAATATCCCCTGTGGTTCTGCTAACAAAGGCTCTTTTTCATGATTTTTTTTCATGTACAGAGCAATATTTCGCATTTAAATAACAGAGTTTATCGAATCATCTTAAAGTCACTTTCAATTTGTGTCCTTCTAAGAGTAACAGGACATAATAGTGCTGAAGCTGCGTTTATATTCGGTTTGGGGGGGGGGGGGGGGTTGTCTTTTTTTCTGCATTTATCACATCATTCGTGCCCAATCAAATGTGTGTCTTTTTACGAGTAGCAAGACAAATTATTCCTGTTGCAGCTTCACGTTTGACTTTTTATTTACAAAACTACAACACCCACCTGACTCCATCTCTTCCTGTGACGTATCTGGGCCTTGTCCTTGAGATGAGCCACCAAACAGTTCCCGCCAGGCAGTTTCCAGGTGAGCCGACCGCCGTACGGGGTTTGAATCATGGTCGGCATTGGCATCACCATCTCGGCACAATGCTCCATGCTGTGAGAGAAAAACGCATGATTCTATTAATTACAGGCTTTGGCGTTTGTTTTTGTTTTTGTGAGAGTTAGCAATGAGGCAGGGATGGTAGTTAAAGTAACTTTATTGAGGACAAAGATCCGTAGGAAATGTACAAGTAAGGGTTCTATATTTAAACCCAAAAAATTAACACTTTAACTTTCCCCAAGAAGTAAGATAAAAAGAATATTTTTTTAATGGATAGAAAAAATACTGTCGATTAGCCGTTTCATTGATTATAAACATCGCCATTCGCGGCCAAGGTTGAAAAACGGAGCTATAGCTTCAATACAAAACGTCTATTGCGACTTCAAGACAGCAACGAAAGAGTAATTAACAGACTCAGTTGATGTGGTGAGCTTACAGTTGACCCTAATCTCTTTTGTTAAGTGGGCTATAAATGAATTACAATCAAAATGCGTAGTACGTATCTATCATAGCACTATTAATGTTTATAATTACTGTTAATGTATATGATGCATATGACTGTGAGCCTGTTTGTGAGCTATTATGGTTATGTGCACCGATGTGTGTGGAAGAGGGGATGAGTGAGAGAAAAGTATACGTGTACATGGATGCGTACATGTACGTTACTATGCGTATGTATGCTTTTTGTGTGCTTGTTTGTGTGTGTGTGTGTGTGTGTGTGTGTGTGTGTGTGTGTGTGTGTGTGTGTGTGTGTATTTAGTGAAGCTTCAAACCAATGACAGCAAAGATGTATTTTATCTTAACTTATCTTAAGTCAATTTAATGGATATAAAGATAAAGTGACATGTTCTAAAACAACAATTATTTCCCCATTTGAGAGAAATTAAACAGAACCAAAAATAGTTATAGTTATAGGCATAAATCTAGCTCTAATTATCTCAATGTCATCTCACTACGCCCCCATCTCTCTCTCTTCCTTGACCCCCCTCTCTCTCTTCCTCTCTCTCTCTCTCTCTCTCTCTC